AGCCAATCAAACCTCCGTATAGACTGGCCGGACGTACCATGCACAGTTCGGCGTAGACGCTCTGGCGCCAACTAGAGTCATGTCCGCTCAACCGGTCTACACGCCACCCTTGTACTTGACATATCGCTGGCCACACCACGGGTTGTATATCCTCTCTAAACACATACTCTTTCTAGCTATTTTTACATTGTCTCCTGCCACCATCCTTAGAAAGGCCCGACACGCAGTGAATTCGCTTGGATACAAATTCTTAGTAAGAGTACTTACTACTTGCATGGTAACAATCGAGGGCGAAGCGTGACACTTTATGATGGGTAATCAACTGTATGTGACTTGTAATTTAAACCCAGTGGGGCACCGCCGCCAGTCAGGCGGCGGCGGCGGCGGCGGAGGCCAACTTGTATGGGAACTAGCTGTTCCTGCGCAGCTTCGCCCTCGCATACTACATTATCAGAAATCGGGCTAAGTAACTCAAGTGTTTCTGAAAGTAGCAAGAAAAAGATATGCTCAAAGGAAGCCAAAGCACCACAAGTTCTTGAAAAACCTGAAATATACATGCTTCTCACACAAGAGTCGGTCATAATGCATAGTCACTCCTCAAAGCGTCAGTCTTTGCAAGGCACGGACGAGATCCCCAACATTCATCGACATCTACAACTCGCCGATCCCGACCGGAAGATGTACGCAGGGTAGTATGGTCTTAGGAATACATTCGGATTGTTTCACCGATACAATTACATTTTGTTGTGTCTTAGATGGCCCTACTAACAGAAGAAAGGAAGCCGGCCGCCGTCGCTCACCGTTGGCCGTAAGCCTTGGTCTCGTAACCCTCTGCAAATAAGTTGTCAGTAGCTGCCGGGGCCAGATCAACCAGGGTAGGTACGCACTGCGGCCAATGATGACGTTCTGGGGCTCCTGCGGCTTGTCAGTGAGGTAGTTCTCGAGGATCGAGCGGGTGCCCTTCGCGTAACGCGCCTGGGCGTCCAGGGTCGTGCCAGAGTAGTGCGGGACCATGCCGTTGCCGCCGCCGAGCGGGTTCTTCATGTAGCGCCATGGGTGTTCCTTGGGCGCGGGCTGGACGTTCCAGACGTCGCCAGAGTAGCCGTTGAGGTGCCCGCTCTTGATGGCGGCCGCAACGGCGTCCCTGTCGCAGATCGCGCCACGTGCGGTGTTGACGAGCCAGGCGCCCTTCTTGAAGTGCTTGAGCAGCTCCTCGTTAACAAGGCCGCGTGTGCCTTCGTGTAGCGGGCAGTTGACGGTAACAACGTCACACTGCGAGACAAATTCCTTCAGGTCCTCGACGCGGCGGGCGTTAACCTCCTTAGCGCCATGCTCAGGGAGGGGAGCGTAGTCGTAGTAGAGGAGCTCTTTGCAGTTGAACGGCACGAGACGCTGGAGGACACGGAAACCGATACGGCCAGCACCGATGGTGCCGACAACCTTGCCCTCGAGGTCGTACGCGTTGCGAGCGACGTCAGAGACCTGCCAGTCACCACGCTCGATCATCTGTGATCAACACCAAAACTTTATCAGGGAACCGTCCTCCGGACATCTTGCACGTGACACTGACCTCGTGAGCAGGGATAAAGTTGCGGACGAGAAGAAGGATGGACATGATGACGTGCTCGGCGACCGAGACGACGTTGGAACCAGAAACCTCCAGGACCTCAACACCGTGCTTGACTGCAGCATTGAGATCGATGTGGTCGGAGCCGACACCGGCAGTGACGCAAATCTTCAGGTTCTTGGCCTTCTCCATAAGCTCAGCGGTGAGGTAGCCGGGATGGAAAGGAGTAGTGATGAGAACCTCGGCCTGGTGGATGACAGCGGCGATCAACACCGATAACATATTAAACAGCGGGGTAGACTCACATCGACGATGTGCTTCTGGAAAACAGAGTCTGGGCCCTCCTTGTCGTCTGAGACGATGAGTTCATGACCTTGTCCCTCCAGCCACTCGCGGAGAGCAAGCTGTACATCCAAACATTCAGCACTACGCCGGTGCGCAACAACGTGAAGACACTCACCTGGTTCTCGATTGTACCGAGAAGACGGGGCTCCTCACGAGCAGCGTTACCACCGGTGTAGAGGATAGCGAGAACCTAAATGATGTTAATGAGTAAGCCTTGAACGCAACAGACAGGACAGCTGCTGACCTTCATGATGACTAGAGATGGGGGTGGAGGTGATCAGGTCTGGTGAGAGCAGGAGGGGAGAGCTGGGAGAACACGATTCAGGCACCCCTCTTTATACTGTTCCTCATGCCTACCGCAGGTCATGAGAGGCTCGTGAAACCCATGGGTGCATCTTTTTTCATCAAGACCTCGCGAACGGCCGGAAGCCCCTCAATAGAAAAAGCATGCGCGGAACCCCCTGAAGGTCAGTCACGGGTTGGAACAGTCAACCGCATGAGTAGCACAATGCAGGTAGCGTACCGAGCACTTACGAATGGCAGATAGGGATGGGAACTTGTGAAACGGCCGAATGCATCAAGTCGCGTCGTGGGCCGCAGCCGCGCGACGCACGGTGCTTCTAAACGACACGAAACGGCCCGTGTGTGGCACGGTACGGCTCTTGCTAGCTAGTAAGATCGCGCACGATCTTTCCGATTGTATCCGAGGGGCCTGCGCAGGTGGTGCGGTCGTGGACACCAATCGCACGGCATCCTCTGGTACCTGAGCCTGGTCGACCGCGCACTCTCAGCATCAGGAAACCGGTGAGCAGGTGGTGTGTCTATCATTGCCAAGTTAGCGCTTCGATTCATAGAAATGATTAAGCTAGAGAGAACGCGGAATCTGTGCATATGAGCGTCCCCCCCGCGTGATCAGCCACCAGCAGCCACCAGCACGGCCCAGAAGGCTAGAAGTGTATTCCGGGGATGCATAGTCATACCCACAAGAAGCATAGCACCATCAGGACGTTCCCAGGGGTGGATGAGAGGACAGAGGACGAATACTTCGCCCACAGCACGGATGGCGTCATTCCAAATTTGGAAGGCACTTTGCGCTGCCTCGGCGGATACTCCGCGGGAAACGTCGTAACGCGCTCTTCCCGGAGGCCCTTGGCTTTCTGCGGGCACTACCCTCTCTTCCAATTTCACCCGCAGATAGACGAATAGGGCCGGATTTTCCTTTGGACGCCCACCAGCAGGTCTCCGTGCGCCCAGGGTCGGAACAGACAGGAGAGCGGTGCGCACAGGCACAATCCGGATGAGGAAGCAGGTTGACCATAACCTGGAGGCACGCGGGAAAAGTAGGAGCGCGTCGTAGGTAGGCGTAGTGGTGGATCATTACTGGTCGTCGCCGCAGAGGCGTTCGCCACTCTCCATTTGGCAACGGTCGGAGGCCTTTGCCAAACACGGCCAAACATCCAGGTTCCGGCGCCCCGACGTCTTCGAGCGGGCCGACGCAGGCAACGGAATTGTCGGCAAACAAGCTATCAAGATACGCCCGCAAAGCTGATGGTGTTTACTGATCGGGGATCCTACTGGAATACACACATGCAGTCTTGAACAACAGAGGGCGGCCAGTAGGCACCAGCGAGAGAGATGGTGGTACAAACAACAAAGAAGTGGCGAGGAGAAAAATGCAGGATGATGACAGGGAATAAAGAGGCGGACTTTCAGGAACCATTATAGGGTATAAGCCGGTAGCGTAGCGTTTACTGCAAGAGGCGAACTGATGGTCTAAAACAGTCGTGTCGAATCGTCACTGGCGGCGAAATGGGGTGTAAGTGCTACACGAGGGCAGCATCCTTGAGGTACACCCGGAATATGGAATCTCGGATGTCGGTGATAATCCTCTGCGTGGCGGTTTTGTCCTGTGTCAGTGATATGAGCGGCAAGCAATCTGCAAAGATGAACAAAGTCCGTACGACAACGTTGGTCAGATGAGTATATAGGACACGCATGTTCTCGTTGTTCTTCTTGTGCACTTGTGTAAAGTGTGCGCGGAAGTACCCGACGACAGAGTCGAACTCGTTCGGACGGTCCCCGAATGAAGTGATGCTGCGTGTCATCGAGCTGTCAACGGATATCCGAAGCTCATCTCAGAGTGCGCACGTACTACTTCTTCACCTGAACACCTCTCGCTATCTTCGCCTTCAGCACGTCTGTCTTATCTGTGAAAGCTGATTAGTCGCACGACGGGCAAGAAAACTACTACAAGGCATACTGAGGAAAAGCACGAGGTGAGCATTCTTCAAATGCTTATTCGAGCATATTTGTGTGAACAGCTGTAGTGAATCGTCGATCCGATTTGTGCGCGGGTCTTCTTCAAGGTACTAGGAAAATGTGTTACAAATAGAGTTCTCCGCATTATCGGGATGCCTCTCACCTGATCAAATGCGCTAACCGGGGCCATGAAGATAATGGCAGATCTACTTAGAGTGTGGGTACGAGAAGTCGTGAGATGTATGAGACAACGCTACTCACGCATCATCGAAGTAGGGTGCCCAGGTATGTCTCTGACCCCGAGCACCACCCACATCAAACAGGTGCCATGTTACCGTGCGACCATGCAGCGAGACGTCGAATATATGCTCAGCGACACCCATTGTTTGTATCCGGGCATGGAGAATGTCATCTGAACACGGTACGCTCAGCTGCGCTCGCTTTGCACGTGATCAAGCAAACTGACCAGTGGTCGGCACATAGCCAGTCTCGGATACCCGACCGATATTGTCCAAAAAGCTGCACCCGATGTCAACATCTACTATTGATTCGCATAAAGGAGACGTCACGCACTATTCCGCCCACTCCTCAAGTCGCAGTCGTCGCTTCTCCTTCAGCCGCTGGACGGTCGGATGTTCCCAGAGCTCTTTGATGTCATCCGCGCAAGCGTGAAGAATTTTTGCGACATCCTCAATTAACTTGTCCCTCTCGATGACGATGGTGGAATCCTCGCTGCTCCTCGGTGCGCCATTCTCTAGAGACTTGCGCTGACCCGTCAAGCTACTCCGATCGCGCATGCGGGCTCTGCTGAGCAACGACCGGGCTTGCCAACCCGAGCGAACAAAAAGGTTGCCCTTGGTAGGGGTAGGCTGTCCGCCGGCGAGTCGCTCAGCGAGGGAAGCTTCTGCAGCTAGCAGGGGCCCCAGACGGTACCGGAGAGTTGTCAGTCGCTTTTCGGCTGTCGATGAGCCTTGCGAGCCGGAGACTGAGGAGCCACGCTTTGAGTCAGGGTCTATGTTCTCGCTATTCGTGTCCACCTGCATAGCGTCTTCATCTTCCTCGAACTCGCCATAAGCGTCAATGACCTCGAAAATGCGACGCACTGGGCGAGCGATGTTGTAGTACACCACCGGACGCCAGGACAGCCGCTCTTCTTCCAGCGAGTTGGGGTTGTACATGAGCTGGAACTGCTTCTGAAGAGTAGATTTTCCGGACTCGGCCTGGCCGAGGAGAAGAAGCTGCAGGATCCGGTAGTGAGCCGCTAGTCCGCCAGTCAGACAGAGACTCTAGGAGGGGGAGAGGGACAGCCCATCTCTTCCCATTCCCACAGTGCGAGGATGCTATGGCCACACAGAAGTCGCGCAGATAACCCACACATACGCAACGCGAGTGGCATGGCAAGAAGTAGCACGTACCCTAACATCTTCTTTCCGCTTCCTAAAGCGCCTCTCCTCAGCCCTTAATTCCTCATCGATAGCATCGCTGATTCTCTTGGCTTCCGCCTCTCGCTGGAGTCTCAGCTGACGTTCACTTTCCGTCTCTCCAGCGGGCGGACGAAGGATAGCGGCAATGGGGTCACCATAGTCGGTGCCGAGGCTGCGCACGGATGGCGGGCGCGGCGTCGAGATCATTGGTGTATGAGGGGGAACGGGGTGGGGGACGGGGTTGCTGTCGGCGACGCGGGCGACAAGGAAGGGGGTTGATGATGGTTGGAGGGGAACAGGGTTTGTCGGGGAGATTTCTGGGTTACATCTTTATGGGAATGCGCGCAGACAGCGCACGAAATTCGAAGTGATGGAAGTCTTCTCGTGTCACCGCAGACGTGGATTGCTCGCCCAGTCTGGCACACGCTCAAGCACCTCTTCGGCGATGCTTCTCCGATTCCGGCTCCGGGTGAGCTGCCTATATCCCCATTTGGACACGGCATCGCCGGATCAGCCGCCGGCGGGAGCTTCGTGGCGCTGTCCCCGGCGCGAGAAACATCTTGTTTCTCCACTCTCAGCTGCGTGTCCATGCCATGGTGAGTCTCCTGCACTCTTCTGCCTCGCGTCGGCCGCTCAGTGGGTCCTCCAGTCCGTCACTCTGCACACAAACCTCGGCGAGCTCAAGGTACGCCTGCTCCGCCTTGGCCCATTTTACCCAACCTGAGCTACATCAACTTTTGTTCGACAGTGTGAACTATTCTGCGATGCGGTGCCCAAAACTGTGGAGGTAACTCGAGGTCCACCAGTTCTGCCTGCGCTCTGCTGCCCGTGTGCTCATCATCTTGCTGACAGAATTTCCTTGCCCTCTGCGCCTCCGGGTATTACGATAGTTGTATCTGGCACCGCAACATCAAGGGTTTCATGATTCAAACCGGCGACCCGGCGGGTTCAGGCAAAGGAGGGCAGAGCATCTGGGGAAAACCCTTCTCGGATGAAATCCGGTCCACCTTGAAGGTCGTTTTCCGTTGCCATGTGCTCGCACCGTTTCCCAGCTGATTCCAATTGTTCTTTGGCAGTTCAACAACCGTGGCATCCTCGCCATGGCCAATTCCGGGCCTGATACCAACAAATCGCAGTTCTTCGTAACATATGCAAAACAGCCTCATCTCGATGGCAAGTATACAATATTCGGCAAGGTCATTGACGGCTCCGACTCAACATTGGATGCGATGGAGCGGGCGCCGGTTAACGCAAAGAACAGGCCGCTGAACGAAATCACGTTGACTCACGTAAGTTCCATTCCCGTTCATCAGGGTTGCCATCGCCATCGACCGAAGTCTGCTTTGTCAGTTATGATGTCGCCCTTAGGACGCTGATGTGTCCGGCTGTTGCGCTTTGTCGTGTCTAGCGAGATACTCACCCCTCCGCATGACATAGGTAACCATACATGCAAACCCTATCGCAGACGCGGAGCTCGCTGGGCGGTAAACCCAGCGGGCACCATCACCGAGAAGAGTGCATCAAGCCACTATTCCACTGTCTTGTTGGTGACCAGCCCTGTCGATCTTGTACCACGACAGTACCAGTCAAGCAAGAACCCCTGGTGGAGTGTCCCTGTGGAGGAAGTTGGCTTCTCGGACAGTGCTATTTATCCCCACGCGACTGTCACGTTCCCACTCTGTCTAAATCAGACATACTGTGTGCAATAGTAAATGCGGATATGACACAACATGCTGGCACTCAAAAATGACATTGTACAGCGAGGCACTTTCTCAGAAAGCTCTGTTCGTCTCACGAGATTCGCGCCGCTCATCTCGATGAGCTCATTTCACCGCCATTACATGCGGTCTGTCGCTGATAAAGATGCTTCAGAATCTAAAGGGAGAGCCGAACCAAACGGCAAACAAACTTCTTCAACATGAATCTTGAAGCACTCAGGTACCGTCCCTGACCGCCGAAGCGCAGCCCTGGTCATGTGCACACAGGCCGCACCAGAGTGTCACCGTCAGGCAAAACGCAATCGCGGATCCGCTCGTTTGCGGTCATGTTTTCTCAAAGGAAATCAGCGACCATACAGAAACCCTATTGTCCTGACTTCCCACTGCAAACCACCGCCGTCGTCCTGCCTTCTCGTCTTCCGAGAATCCCTCTTCCTCGTCTGCGTCGTCCGTGGGAATAGGCTGCTCATGCTGATAGCGCGCAAAGGTGACGGCTTGGCAGCTCTTCTTGTGGTAGTCCAGCGTGCCCAAGGGCTTGAGGATCTTTGTGGAATACAGCCGGATCCTGCATATGTGATTCATCAGAAGAGGTGCGAACGTCGGGCAGAGGATGTAGCGCACTTCCCATCCCAGCCTCCGATAGCGCACACGCGTCCGTCATCTCTAATGGCGACAGAGCCGTTTCCGGGGTTCTTCGTCCTATAGATGGTGCATGCATCTGCAACACGCTCGGGATCTTTGCCATCCGATGCAACGTCCAAGTCGTAGCGACCAACAATATGGTCCGCAGATACCGACAAGGCTAATGTATTCATCCTATTAACGGTCATAGCCATGACTGCTGGGGATAAGCTATCGGGCCACGGAGACGCTTGGAGAACGTATACGCACCGCTCTCAACGTGTAACTTGACACTCCACAGCGTGTCCCAGTCTATGCCCTCCACGGATGGCTTCCGCCATTCGCCATGTCGGTATCCCCGCAGCGTGACGCTGCCGTTCTCGTAACCACAAAGGAGCCGAAGCTGCCTCTTGCTGCTCTCGTCCGACGGTGGGCCATTAAAGAGGTGCATAGACATGATAATGCCTAGTGCGATAGTAAGTGAGGAGTAGCGCGAGTTAGAGGTGACGGACCAATGGGATTTATGGGTTCACGGCCGTCAGAGTCGGACAGTTGTGCGGACCCGCTTTTGCCTATAGCTGCGTGCAGTCGTTTCTGAGCAGGGAGCTCCCACACGTCTGCCTATATTGCGGTGCGTATAGGCCTGCACAATATCACGTCAAAGCAGAATGACGTACCAGAGCGGACTCGATGAGGTTAGGCACAGCAAGTAGAGCCACGGGCCCAGACTCTGTCTGGTCTTGTAATGGAAGCAAAGAGAAGCGGCAGTAGTTCAGCGCATTGACATCCATTGAATAGCGCAGCTCAGGTTTGGAGAGCCCAGGAGTTGTCGCAGACTCGCCGACCTTGCGTGCAGGGTCCAAGAGAAGCCGCCATACGTGCAGCTTATTGTCCCGGCCATGACTGGGTGTATGTGTTTACAGTGCCAGCCTCAGGGACAGAATTAGAAGCTTACGTTATGATATTGTCCTCCCACTCCTCTATGCCCAAGACACTATTCGTGTGTGCTCGCCAGTTCGCGAGTGGACGCAATGAACGCGTCGAAGTAATGATCACGTTCCCCTCCGCATCCCCGGAGTACAGCCGTTCGTTATCTGATGAAAAGTGCAGGGCATTCGCTGCAGTTAGATGTGCCCGAATGAGATGTGTAGGTGCAGATGGTGGTGGTAGAGCACTGGAAGGCATGATTGCGGTTCGCCCTGGACGTGCCTCCCGGTCTATGGGCGCCTCACACCTGCTACTCACCATCGAGTCGAGTTGAGAGACGGCAACGCTCACTGTAAGCCATACCTTTGTCTTCCTGTATTTCCCCACCAGGACATCCAACAGCGTGCTGATCTGCTGCATACGTTCTTTATAAGCCTCTTTCCACTTCCTCTTCCCATCCTCTTTCAGACGTCACCATACTTGTTCCCGCCGACTGCCCAGCATGGCAGACCTCGTCGACTCGATGCTCGACCTCATGCGCCGTCTCCCACCCACGCATGTGGAGGAGAACGTTGCTGCGCTCGTAGGGATGTGCCCCGACTACGCTGACGACCTCCTGGGCAGTGTCGACCAGCCGCTGAAGGCGATGGTCGATCGGACGGCGGGCAGGGAGTATCTCGCATGCGATTACAACAGGGATGGCGAAAGCTATCGGTAAGCACTTATCCCTCGTGAATTAAGAGTTGATTGCCGACTAACTATGTGACGGATAGATCGCCATGGTCGAACGAGTATGACCCGCCGCTTGATGATGGTACTGTTCCCTCAGCCAAGCTACGGAAGCTAGAAGTTGTTGCCAACGAGGCCTTTGATACTTATCGCGAGATGTGAGCTCGGATAGCGACTTTTCAATACTCGCCATTCTCACCGATCTTTGTGCCGCAGGTACTTTGAGGGCGGTGTGTCGTCTGTATACCTCTGGGATCTTGAGGATAGTGGATTTGCTGGCGTCGTCCTCTTGAAGAAATGTTAGATCTTCTATTTGACTTTCCCTCCTCTCATTCTTATCATACTATGTAGCACTCACCTCCTCTTCACTATCTGAGCCCTCGGGTGCATGGGACTCCATCCACGTCTTCGAAGTCGCTGAACGCGGACGGCAAGCTCATTACAAGCTTACATCTACGATCATGCTTTCGATGGTGGACCGCGGCGTTGCTCAAAACAGCAAGGAGGATAAGGTCGAAGCGAAGCGGGATGGTGAAGTTACTCTGAGTGGAAGCATGACGAGACAGGTATGTCTGTAGTCTGGACGCACGTCTGCCCATTGATCAACTTTTTCGCACTTAGACGGAGCAAGATCATTCCTTGCAAGACCAGAATTCTCATATCACGAACATTGGACGGATGATTGAGGACATGGAGATCAAGATGCGCAACCTCCTGCAAGAGGTGCGGCTCGTTGCTTGGCGCATGCCTGTTATCGATTGTGTTTCTTACCAGACGTGCTGTAGGTCTACTTCGGCAAGACGCGAGACGTGGTGTTCGACCTTCGCAGCCTAGAAGACCTCGAGAAGGCACGGAGACAGCGCGAGCTGCAGAAGGAACTTGTCGGCCTCATCAAGCGGTAGTCGAGCATTTGGCCCAACGATATATTACAAGTACAGCTAAACGGGAATGTAATTGTGAATGGATCGAATCAAGGGAACTTCTTGGACGAGGCTCTTGTCGCAGTGATTTAGCCATTGCCTTGGGCATTGGATAACATCGCTACTCTGAAATGGATATAAGAAGACCGCTCATCACTTCGCAGCTTCACTAACAACGGCAGAGGCTCGGCTGTCGGCGACCGTTAGAGCTGAGAATGAGTGTGACGTAACGCGACTGTCACGTCACTGCCTGCTTTGAGGGCGCCAAGACGCGTCTTGCAGAACTACCACATCCTCCGTCTCCCTTTCACCCGATTTCTTGTGCATCGCTTCCCTTAGAATGTCTCTCTGGGTTGATTGTGTAAGAAAATTTACCTTTAGAGCTGCGTCGGATCACTCTAAGCTGTGATGTCGTAGTACCGACCAAAGTCGCTCGATGAACTTCACTATCACGAAAGCCTCTCGGCCCGCCTGCGATCTCTGGTCCGTCCACTCGCTCATTGGTTTTGCCTTCTACTACTCTGATTCTCTACTCCTTTTGCTTAACATGCAGGCTGCTTCCGGAGACTTCCCGCATATGCTGTTCTATGGACCATCAGGAGCGGGGAAGAAGACTCGGATAGCATGCACGCTGAAGGAGTTGTTCGGAAAGGGGGTGGAGAAGGCATGCTTAATAGTCCCTATATTAGCTCCGCCACTCATAGCGTCTGCCGTTTAACAGCTTAAGATTGACCAGCGAGTCTTCTTGACACCATCCAGGCGAAAGCTGGACGTGAATGTCGTCCAGAGTAATTTTCACCTTGAAATCACACCCAGGTACGTTGACATTAGGATCTATGTGCTGTAAATACTGGTTAACTTGTCTTCGTCAGTGAGGTTGGTAACTACGACCGAGTAGTCATTCAGGAACTCCTGAAGGAAATTGCCCAAACACAGCAAGTCGATATCAACGCGCGGCATAGATTCAAGGGTATGCCTACTGTGCCGCCATATCTGGAATTAATTTGACATTTGTCGTAGTTGTCGTCATCAACGAGGCTGACTCTCTCACCCGTGATGCTCAAGCGGCTCTCCGTCGGACGATGGAGAAGTACATGTCGAACATGCGCATCATCCTTTGCGCAAATAGCACAAGCAAGCTCATTGCCCCGATCAAGAGTCGATGTCTTCTGGTTCGAGTGGCGGCTCCTACAGAAGAAGAGGTATGTTTCGCGTTCAAGGAATTTCTGCGCGTGGTGGCCAACAACGAACTATGCAGATGGTTACGGTCATGAAGCACGTTGCATCTCGCCAAAACTTCCGGATAGAGGACGAGAGTGTAGTTTGCGAGATTGCTCGGGATGCAGAAGGCAACCTTCGGAAAGCGCTGCTGGTGTTCGAAGCTCTGAAAATGCAGACGTACGCGCAGCCCCGTCTTTCGTCGTATGCTCTGTGCTAATTGCTTATCGTTTTAGTGGCAGTCTCAACGGTCCGATAACAATCGCAAAACCCGACTGGGAAACTTATTGCATCAAGGTCGGGGATATGATCACCCAAGAGCAGTCGCCACAACGAGTGATGGACGTGCGAACGAAGCTCTACGAACTCCTCTCTCACTGTATACCTCCCACTGTCATCCTGAAGGTCTGTTCTGCGACTCCGTTGTTCAGTAGCCTTTTGCATGCTCACTGCACTGCAGACAATTGCAGCACGTGTGGTCGAAAAGGTCGATGAAAGCCTAAAGGCTGATATCATGCACTGGGCGGCCGTGTATGAGGTTCGCATGCGCGTGGGCAACAAAAAGATCTTCCACCTCGAGGCATGGGTTGTCAAGGTTATGAGCATATACAAGGTACGCGGTGCCTTGTTGCATAAACATTGCGGCTATGGGGTAATCGCGACTTACAGCACTTCTTCTATGGTATTGATATGGGCTCATTTGAGTGAGATTTCACCTGGGATGCCAAGTCCTTTTATTCTTGGCAAGTTGTACCCTGTGTATTTTAATCTTGACTGCGCGGACCCTCGACGCACATTTCATGCCTTTGTATGCCGCAGACTCGAGTGGGAACGAAAGAACGAGTCGGACTTGTGGCGTCTTTGAGAAGGCACGCCTTGGCAGCTTCTTCCGATGTGACACCGCGAAGGGCGGATCCCTGCGAATGCAGATGCCCTGCTATCTGTAGCATCATCGCGCTGGAAGCACAAGCGATCCGCACAGGCCATGACTGGAAAACTCCGTCTCAACGCGCAGCTGGCTGGCTTGGCCATATGCTACGGCAGCGCACTGACTTTTCGGTGACTTCTGACAGGTCCGCAGCGGTCCTGAGCACGGCCGGCGCGGTAACACATCACCGGAAAGAAGGCAGGTATGGACATGTGGACAACCGTCTTGTGCCGGATATCAGGAAGATCGCGTCACTGCCAGTCCTTATATACAGGCAGCACAAGCTGAAGCTCTCCCTCACTTTCGCCGGCACTAACGGCGCGTCTAAACCAGCGAAGGAACACATTTTGCTGCCATGATCATCAGGCTCTTTGTGACCGTCGCGGCGCTATTCTCACCTATACACGCGCTCTCCCGCTCCGGCGCACAGTGGGTCAACCGTCAACGTCTCCCAAAGGCCCCGTTAGGACCGACAACGCTCGCGGTCGACGTGCCTAGCTTCCCCGTCTTCACGTTCACCCAACCGCTCGACCACTCTACTGACACAGGCTTCACGTGGGAGCAGCGGTACTGGGTCAGCTACAGACATTACAAGGCTGGCGGGCCCGTCATCATCTTGGACAGCGGTGAGGACTCTGGCACGGACCGGTTACCGTACATGGATACCGGTATCGTTGATATTCTGGCAAACGCAACTGGTGGGCTTGGTGTCGTGCTCGAGCATCGGTATTACGGCCAATCCATCCCGGTTCAGAACTTCTCCACGGACTCGATGAGGTGGGCTACCAAAAAAATAGATGAATTAACAGTAACTCAATACATGCTTTCTAGATGGTTGAACATTGACCAAGCATTAGCTGATTCCGCGAATTTCCTTGCCAATGTGAAGTTTGCAAATATCTCCGGGGATCTGACAGCCCCTGGGACTCCTTGGGTATATTATGGGGTGTGTATTTGCTGGAGTATGCTTCTGAGCTATATAATCATGGCTTAACAGGGCTCCTACGCCGGATCGCGCGCTGCACACATGAAAGTTCGGTATCCGGACCTTGTCTATGGCGCGATCGCGTCCAGTGGCGTCACGTACGCGACCGTTGTGGACTGGCAATACTATGATATCATCAGGCAATTTGCGCCTGCGGACTGCGTGAGCCAGATCGAGACCACGGTGACCGAAGTCGACAACCTGCTCGAGAACCCAGATGCCGTCCAACCCATCAAGGCCCTGTTCGGCCTTCCGAACGTCACCCACAATCAGGACGTCGTCTCGCTCATTTCTGTAAGTCATCTGCAGCCTGCTATAGCTCCTGCCAGCGGAACTGAATGCGGATTAGGAACCTCTGGGTGCATGGCAGGACAAAAACTGGGACCCGGCCGTGAACTCTCCTGCCTTCGACGACTTTTGCACCTTCCTGGGAAGCCCGACGTCGGAGACGGTAGAAATTGTGAAAGGTATTCGGGTCAGCAACGCGACAGCCACGTACGCAAACTACATCAACGCGGTAAATCAGTAAACGATGTTTCTCCACTACTCCGCCACTAAAGCCATTCAAACTGCAGACGATCTCGTCTAGTTGTCCCAGCACACTTACCCAGGATGATGTACGTTGGTCAGGCCGTCTTCAATTGAACCGTTTGACGTTTCTATCCTCCAGTGTTTTGGAAGCTTCAATGCCAGCGGATACCAGGCTACTGATCTCTCGCAGACGTGGAGATCTTGGCAATTCCAAGTCTGCACCCAGTTCGGCTTCCTCTCCGTGAGCAGAAAAAACCCACAGCGCGTCTTTATAGCCTCCGCACTGACATCTCGTCCCGTGCAGACCGCGCCGCCAGCCGGCCACCCGCGCATCGTCTCCAAGCTGCTGGACCTAGACTACGCGCACATGATCTGCGACTTTGTAAGTCTCCATCTCCGCCTGAGCGCTGCCTCAGCATCCTCATGCGCCATCGCAAGGCGTTCCCCCCGGGCGAGTCCTTCACTGTCCCGCCGCTGCCGAACGTCACAGCCGTCAACGCGCTCGGCGGCCTGAACATCGCCGCCGACCACCTGGCGATCATCGACGGCCAAGGTAGGGTCGACCCCACTCACTAGTCGCGGCCAGGATCAGCTGACAGAGAGCGGTGCGCGCAGAGGACCCCTGGCGCCCGAACACGCCCCACAGCGACATCGCGCAGCCACGACCCGACACGACGCTCCGGCCATTCAAGCTGATCCCATGTGCGTCTCGCCGGACCTGCACTTGTTGTTGTACGCGTCCTGATAATCACGACTTCTTTTTTTTCATGCAGCCGCTGTCCACCACTACGATGAGAATGGCATCACGAACCATTCCGCGGAGCCCGCTAACATCCGCACGATCCACGAGCAGGAGGTCCAGTTCGTCCTCGAGTGGCTGAAGGACTTCAAGCCGCCTACGTCTGCATGAAACGACGCGCACTTGGAAAGCCACTAGCATTTGAATGCTGCATTAGAGCGCGTGATATGCACATGTGTGTAGAGCAGAAGATAGTGAGGAATACATACGCATGTATGGTGTATGTGAGCAGAACATAATACAAGAAAGTTTGTGCTAGTCAGGCGTCTACGGGGGGTAAAGCTAGCAGCTACGATGTTACAACATTCTTCGCTTTTCATCTAGTCCATGTAGGAGTGCGCTAAGATTACTTGTCCGAGCAGCCCAGCATTGGATATAACAACATGAGGACGGAGCCATGGGCTGCCTATGCCACCCTCATGTCGATCGTAGCAGGCTCTGTTGGCGTCAAAGGCACAGTGACGGTGCCGTTGCTCTTCTTGTTTACCTCGAGACCGCCAGCATCCTCGGTGTGCACCTTCAGCTCCGCCTGGTTGTCTTTGAGAGCGTACTCTTTGAGCTCCTCCACACTGTGGACATCTTCTAAATAGGGAATCTTCGTCATCTCCTTCACGAACGAGGTGCCCCAGAAGGCTGCGGAGTACTTCTCGACGTACTATGGGCATTGTGTGAGCAGACAGCAGTGAAAATATACGGATAAAACGAACAGACCTTGAAGAGCTTGCGATGATTCTCTGCACGCGTCTGTGGCTCCATCGTTACAGCCTCGAATATGGCGTCGGCGACCTGCTGAGAATCCCAGGGGTTGACGACGATGGATCCGTTGAGACTCTGGGCGGCACCAGCGAACTCCGATAGGATCATTACACCCTGCTTTTGCTGCTGGCAAGCGATGTACTCATACGAAACCTGTATACATATTCAGCTACGTCATCAAGTGAAGAAGGGCTGAACTTACCAAGTTCATACCATCTCGTGTACTGGAAACGAGGCAGACGTCGCTGACGGCGTACAGCGCACACAGCTCGTCGAAGGGCAAGCTCTTGTGCATGAAGTGGATCGGCATGAAATCGACGGTGCCGAAGCGTCCGTTAATTCGACCAACGAGTTCATTGACAGTTGCCCGCAAGTTCTGGTACTCCTCAACATCCTGTCGCGAGGGGACGGCGAGTTGGGCGAGAACGATCTTGCCGATCCATTCTGGATGCTGGCTTAGGAACAGCTCGAGTGCGTGAAGCTTCTGCGGGACACCCTTGATATAGTCCAGCCGATCGACACCGACGATAACCTTAACATCGCCGAAGCGCTGCTCCAACTGCTGGATGCGCTTTTGAACATTAGGTTTCTTCAAGTTCTGCGGACATGTGTCAGTGACGCAACCGATCAATTGTCCAGGGAGCGTACCTCGGTGAAGGAGCTGGGGTCGATACCGATGGGGAAGGTTCCAACATGAGCAAGACGGCCGGCGAACTCGACACCATTGGGCATGGTGGGCAAGCCAAGGATGCGTGTACATGAAGAGAGGAAGTGGCGAGCGTAATCGTACGTGTGGAAACCAATAAGGTCGGAGTAGAGGATACCCAGCAAGATCTCCCTGCGCACCGGAAGAATTCTGAAGCGAAACGGTGAGCAAAAGCAGCTACGCGGATGGTAGGACGGAGACTCACCGGTAGATCTCGCTGGACGGGAAGGGGGTATGGAGGAAGAAGCCGACCTTCACCCTCGGGACCTTTGCCGGCTTGAAGTCCTCGCTTTCGATGCCCTCTAAGATCTGCTCGACATCGGTTGAGCCAGGCTTCACACCATCGTTGAGCACGCGAAGGAGCATGGGGAGGAGCATGAGGTGGTAGTCTTGGACCCAGACCATGGAGCCGGGAGTGAGCTGCTTCATGATCGCTTCAGCGAACGCATAGTTAGCCTGTCTGTAAGCCTGCCAGTTTTCCTCCTCGAAGCTCATCTCGCCGGGGTGGTAGTGGAAGAGGGGCCAGAGGATGGAGTTACTGAAACCGTTGTAGTGCCTGTCTGCGACCTCGTCGTCGAGGTAGACGGCCTGGCACGAGTACTCCTCCATCAAACGCTTGTCGACGATGGGGCGATCTTTGGGTGGGATGAAGAAGCCTGGCCAACCGATCCACGTAAAGGACATGGATTTTTTGCAGCCGCTGAGGGCTGAGACGAGACCACCGGAGGACATCTTGAAGTGGTACTCCCCTGAAGCATCCTTGTTAATGGTGATAGGGAGACGGTTGGAGACAACAACGAGATGGCCCTGCTGGCCGTTGGTCCCAAGCTGGGGAGTATCTGCTGCCATCGTCGTGTAGAGCGTTGGAGGAGGGCGATGATGGAGGAGCGAGCGATAGAGAGTCCTAGTTTTGTATGATGTCACACCCGACAAAACGCCGAGCATCACTCCCAAAAATCACCCGCGCACTGCCGTTTTTGGAAGTTCGGCCCGCGCTCTTGCTCTTTCGTGCAGGATCCTCGTTTTGCCTCCTCCGGCTTGGTCCTTGCCACAGTTTCTCCACGAATGCCCTGCCAATCTGCGCGCACGTTCACCTGAGGAAGACGAATACAGCACCCTCACGACGGGTTCTCTGTTCCCAGCGCAATAATGACGTCGCAAGTCTACATCGTCGTTAATTAGTCGGGGATCTGCTCTTCCGAGTCGCTCTTTACTGCACGTAGGGCTGTAGAGATTGCTGCGCAGAATCGTAGCCTGCAATCTTCGTCTGCTCTGCGTGGGGAAACAAGCCTTGGACAAACGTATCAAGCACTCACTTTCCTGCGGAGACCAAGCGAGTGACGTGTTTGTTCAACTGTTCCTCGGCCTCCTGAGCTGATACGTCATGCCATAGTCACAGAACGCAGATGACTGTTGTGCGCAAGAGTGCTGGAACGCGAATGTCATCGTTGGCATTTACCCCCACGCAGTTGTTGAGTGAACTGCACATGGTACATGATGCATGAGCATTGGGTCAACGTGGACTGGTCGCACTGACACCGTATGTTCACAGCCACGGCGGCGTCCTGGTGGCGTCTCGGATTTTGCCGCTGTCCAGCCGACGACAAAAGCCAGTCACGAGGTATAGAGGACTGAAAACGGACGTCTTCGTCTGTGCAATGCCGAATGTTTCGCAGGTATTTGTTGAAGTTCATGCTACCCTGAGTTGTGACTTCATTGTGTCCTAAATGAGGCTAGTAAGCAGCCTAGCCACGTAAACGAGGTGCAACCGCATGAAGAAGCCTGAAAATATGATGCATCAATGCCAAGCGGTAGTTCTCCCGGGCGGCCGTATATAAAGTATCCCGACACGCGCCAACGGCCCTCACAGCGTCCTGCAGCTTGCCCCTCTCCTCCACGCAACGACCTGCTCTCCCTGAACTCAGCGTTCAGCCCGACATTCGTTTAATTCCCACTGTCTTTACTTCCTCTCTCAACAGCAACCAGCTTCTCTTCAATGCAGTCTTTCGTACGCGTCTTCGCCCTCGCCGCTCTTTCGGCCTTCCTGGCAACGGCTAGCTTTGCTTCACCCCCCGCTGGAGGCCTTGCCAAGCGTGACACTGAGGGCGGACCTACCCACGTCTCCACTCTTCCGCTTCCCTCGAGCCGCCACTTGACCAATGCGGAGCGCATGGCCCGCGGTCTGCCTCCCAATCCCCCTAACAGGCGCAACGGTACGTTCACATACTACCTCGAGACCACATCATCTCACTTATTCGGTCTTCTCTAGGCCGCCTCGTCGCACGCGTTTCTCCCACGCCTGTTGGTGCTAACAGCCCTGCTCCTACGCAGCAAGCGTCAGGATCCGGCTCCTGCACTCAGCGCTCTGGTATTATTGAGATCGCCTCTGTTGACCGCTCCATCAGTGGCTACCTTGCCAATGTAACTACTCGTTTCGGCCAGTATGGCTTCTCGCCCAACAAGGGTGATGCGATCGAAGTTCTGGCGCACTGTGACGGCGACCGCTTTGACTTGACTACTGTTGTGCGTATCACTAATTATGCATATGAGAACGCAGATAAACTTATGCGCACGTCATGTTAGGATATGAGCTCTTCCTACCCTTACTTCGGAGGTATCACCGGTCTTCAGAGCATCTCAGCCGACCTTCTACCAGGCACGTCTAACTACGCGTACTTCGGCGGTGTCACTCCTAGTAAGTACCTCCCCCGCATAAGCATGACCATCGAATTCAATTGTCTTCAGCGCTCCCTGGAAAGCCTGCCTCCAGCCAGGATAGCTCCTTCACGTCGCTCACCAAGATTAGCAACACTGTAGAGAGTGCTATCTGGAGTATGGACGACTCTACCGGCATTCTCACGCCTCACTGGGTCAACGGCAGCGGTGGTAATATCGCTATCTCCTTGCTCCAATATCCTCGTATCTGAACACATTTTCTACAGACGAGCAGACCACTTACATCGCATACTCCCCCTCCGTTGGCGTGCTTTACTTCACTGGCGATCTCTCGGAATTCCAGGGTGCTGTTGGCGAGAGCGTTCACGAGATAGTGCGTTCTTCTCCCGTCATATTTACTCAGTTCTCTGACTGTACACTTCAGATCTTCAAGCTCGTTGCCGCTTAGGCATACTCGGGAGTCGGCCATGCCTTAGAATGCGCGATTTGCTCTCTCACAGCTTCCAATTTCTTGCTTTTTAGAATGGTTCTCTCTTACTCCACTGCACTCGGTTACGAAGTGCGGCGCCCTACTCACTCGGGCCTGGGCTGGACTTTCTATAGTACTTTTAGTTCGTAATGTTGTGACAGTGCGTATTTTCTGCCCTGTATGTTTAGTACCCAGACTACAGGGCCCTTTAAATACTCGTATGTGTATAAGATACGGCTCAAGCACAAGTCGCTACTATCACGTGATCTGCGTGACACAAACGGCGAGGACTCTCGACGCGACCACTCGCAATTCTGATCCTTCAAAGTATTCTAGTAGTCTCAAAATATTACAATTTCAGTGCTTGTGGCCCTACAACTGAGAGCAAGGCTCACAACATCACGAATGTAGAGTACCGTGACGATGCATTTGACGGAGTCACATCAGTCACAAATCACGTGATAGTAGCGACTTGTGCTTGAGCCGTATCTCACTGAGATTTGACTTATTAGCCGTAAGACGCTACCATCTGATGGAATAGGTTTCGGGCGCGGACTTCGAGGTGGGGTTCTGGTGTGTGGCGGGAAAACAAGTGCGGTATGTACCAACCCAAAATCAAGTACTGATATCCTGCTACTGCTGATGGGCACGTTAATTGCATGTGTGATGACGGAATCCGTCACACTTCGTGTTGAACGTTGAACGCTGAGTGTCCGTCCGCGCTACCTTATGGACAGTATTGACCTGTACTAAACGGTGAGTTCCTTGCACATACAAAAATCCAGGATATTCCTGCGGAGTCTTGCGACTCGCTCATGCGTGAACATCATACGCACCCTAGAGCCTAGGATATCCACACTCGATCAGGCACTTTGTTAGATCGTGGTCACATCGAAAAGCTCGTTCGAACGGCGGGCTATCAACGGTTTACAATAATGGCAGCGCCATGTAGTGGTTAGGTCATCGTGAGCTTCTTTTTCCCACCCCAATCTACCCCAACGTGAGCATATCAGGGTGCCATGCGTATGCTCAGGCTACTTTGACATGTCCTGTAACCTCTCACCTCCGAGTCTGGCCTTACATGCACTTCCCTACCGCCTTTCTTAACCATGGTTTCAGCGCTGACTCCGAGTCTAACTCTCAGGTTGATATTCAGAGCAGCCACCGTCTATATCTAGATCCGTGTTAACATGTCGTTCAAAAACATCTATCTTCAGGATTAGTCTGATATCTCCATCATATATCGCGGAGCAAATCTCTGACGGGCTCGATCCCAGGGGTGTCTAAATTATGATAACTGTGCCTTGAGCTATTCGTGGACGCAGTACTAGTGCCTTGGTATCTCTTCAAGCTAGTATATATGGTGTGGCATGACGTCCTAAGAGGATAGCTGCCCCTCTTTGTTGTCCCAGCAGAGACAGCATGGCCACCCAGACGACTCTGCAACCTATCATTCATGCCGCTATGGAGAGGTACGGCCGCCTACCCGCCATTTTCCTCGTTACTCAATACTTGATGTATCCAGCCATGTCAATAAATGTGCGGCTTATTCAAGGCTCGGTAAGCTGTCCTGGCACAAGCGACGGTTTGCATGACTCTTATAGAGATATGATGTAGCACTGCTCGCGTACGACCTGCTGCTGAACATGTCGCGAGAGATAGACCTAGTCTGGCGACAAAAGTGGCGAGCGTCCACCGCGATCTACTTCCTACTCCGCTACCCCGTTGTCGCATTCCAGATCTTCAACGTCTACGCTTCGTCTTATACCACGCCACAGTATGCCTCCCTCTCTCAGTGCAGCCCGATACTCACGTCGGTTCTCTTCTCCTGTCCAGCTGCAACGCCCTCTACAGGTTTACATGGGCCTTTTCAATCCTACTCACGAGAGTAGCTATCACAGGTAACTTTCGGGTACAGTACCCTCTTTGATGTTAAGTTTGATACCGAATGTTTGGTCGCAGCCTCCTTTGTCCTCCGCATATACGCTATCCTCGACCTGACTCGCACTGCATTCCTTGTGGGAGCCGGCCTGGGGCTTGTTGGATTGTCCACGATTGGTCTCGATATCGTAAGTCTCGGCGTCAAGCTGAGCGAAATCTGTCGAGCCTTAACGTAAGTCCGTATAGTGGCAGGATGTCCAAGTGTCCTGTTCGACGTCATCTAATCCTATGTGAGCGAACGCCTTGGCTTACTTTTTGACTGCGAGCTTATAACATTCCACAGCTGTACGGAAGTTCACTGATTCTCGACTTCTGCACCTCACACTCACGGATTCACCGCAGCGACTGTCCTGACATTTTTCTTACTGGCTGCATTCGATGTCCTCACCACAGGTGCGCCGCGGATCTGTTAGTTGCTGGATTGCGGGAGTGCTAAAAGATACTGCAGCTATTCTTCTCGTCAGGACAATATATCTTGTACGGAAGGAAGGGTGGGAAATGCTGAAAGGTCAGGGGTTGCTGACATTAATCATTAACCAAGGTGCGCAAATCTGCCCTGTTTTTCACGAAGTGCCCATCTGACGCCACGACAGGCTTGATCTATTTCCTGTAAGTTTTGAATGCGACGTGATATGCCTGATTCTAAAGAACCGATCTAGCGTTGTCGCCACCGTGCAAGTGATCGTCATCGTTCTCTACTATGTAAGCCTTCTGTGGCGCTTGCAACAATTGCCACATCTGATATGCATCCTTCATAGCTTCCTCAGGTTCGTAAACTCTGCCGTAATCTACTGGACGCAGACACTGATGGTATGATCATTCAATCTCTAATGAAGCTTACAGGGCTTCGGTCTCTTCGACGACTAAAGTTTCTTTCTCGTTTATATCATCCGCGCCTCATCACTCGTATAGTGTTCTGTACTCTAACACGATCATCATGCGCGACTGTGTCATCCCGCCGAACCAATACGGCTACGAGCATGTTCCCGTTGTTAAATGCATGATGTGCAGTCACACGCAAGTTCGGCTTCTGTTCACCTTCTGCGAATCACCGAACGTGAGGATGCAACAGACGTCTTCGCCTCACGAAGGGCCGGAAATCGATCTTGTCTCGCACACTGGAGGCGGAGTAGATGTAATTCGTCAGAGTGCCTACGGGTACTCTGCATGAATCTGACTTAGTTCTAGCTCGTCTCCAAACCTGCTCATCGCGTGGCCCGCATCGCTCGTGGACAGTACTCCCGGGCTCGGATCACTGAAGTCCCGTACGATCTCCACCGCAGGCCCTCGGCTTTCTCTGGATGACAGCCCAGTCATAGAACATCCGATAGGACTGAACTTCGGTGCCGTCAATGTTTCGGCGTCTTGAATGGTGTAGTTTGTGTGTGCGTGCATTTCTCGCAGGTCGAGGAGGAATCGCGAGAGTAGAATGGAGGAGATGCTATGAGGCATAGATGGGTATCCCAATATCTACAAGGAGGCTGCGCGTGAGAGATATATGGCGCACAGGAGAGCATAGTTGTTCAGGACAAGGCCATATACACCCTAGGCGCAGCGGCACAACATGTGCACTTACCATGTCGTCATCCTCCTCTTCCTCCTCTTCTTTCTTCTCCTCTGCAGCAGGGGCAGTATCAGCAGTGGCAGCCGTCTCAGCAACAGGCGCGGCAGAGACCGCGAAAGCCTCGGGGTTGTCGAGGTATTCCTTGACCTGTGGGGAGACATATTAGGACATCGATAATCACGGACAAGTCACGGACAAGACGATTGTGAAATCCGTCAGAACATAAGTAATATTACAGCATGCGTCCTTCAGACGCTCAGCATTTTCAGTGTAAGCTTATATGAACATCGTTGGATGACAAGAATATACATTGATAGAGGGCTGACCTTCTCTGAACCCTCGAAGGTGTAGTCGGTGGCGATCGAGACCGCCAGCAGGTTCTTGTAGGAGTTGACGAGAGAATGCATGACGGATACGATGGTGGGGTAATTGAGGGCCAAAGAGATGGCGGCAATGGTCTGGATACCACTCGAGAAACGGTCAAGAAGCTCCTTCTCAGAAACGTCAAGAACGCTGGGAGCGAAGACGTTGCCGTTATCGAAGATTTGGACAATAGTCATACCGTAAGTAAAAGGAGAGATATTCAGCAAGTTCAGCAGGGTAGCCTCAGAAGCTCCGACACGGGTACCAGCAGAGACGACCTGGACATCGGAGACGATTTCAATGGTACCACGAGCGATCTTCGTGGGGATACCGAGTGCTTGGAAGAAAGAGGTTTTGCCCGGTTCCATACCAGTGTTGCCGGCGGGAATAGTGACATCGAGGGGAGCGAAAGAGTTAGCACGGGCAGGAGCAGCGACCTTATTGGCGGTAATGAGGTCACGAATCTCCTTGAGGTCGTGAGAGGTGAAAACAAAACCGATGTTACCCCTGACATGGGGAAGGAGCTTCTCGAACTGGGGGTACTCGGCGAGGATGGAACGCAGGGCACGGCGAACCATGGTGTTCTTGCCCATGACCACGACACCCTTGCCACGGAGAGCAACACGGATCTGATGCATTTGGTTGGACCCAACATTGTCGACATTGACAACAAAAATGGAGGCTGGTCGTGAACGCCTTTAACAATGTTTACTGTTGAAATAGAAAACGCCGACACTCACGGTGCCTCGCAACAAGCTCCTTGAGCTTCTGGAAGTAGAGTTCCTTCTGCGCACGAGTGGCACCCATTGTATTGACTGTCTGCGACACGGGTAAGCCCAGATAGCCCTCGGGTAGCCGAGCACGAAACTCACAGGTGTTGCGAAATGTGGTGTCGTAGATTAACTCAGTGCCTCCCAATTGACCTCTGGAATTTATTTGAGCATTTCGCCCCAAGTAACACAGCGGGTGCGGTACAGCACTCACCCACCTGTGGTGCCAAAGGATTTTTCAAGGCGACTGTTCGTTTTAATGGTGAACGAGCTGAGTCCTCGACGTCGAAAGCTGGCGGCAGACTGTGGCGTACAGTACCAAAAATTGAGTTTGCACGTGCCTCGGCAGTTACCGGGACACGTCTCGGCGCCCTTGTACATGCAGGCGACGACGGCGTCGCCCTAAACTTCCTGGTCAACGGGCGACGCGTCGAACACGTTTCTGCAGCCTGGACGTTGCGCCTGAGTGTTATCGTGCGGCCTTAGATATCATCTCTCACTCGCCGGCGTGAGACGCGCCACGTCTTTTCCCGACTCTGAGGTGAAGCGCGCGGCGCACACACCGCGAGCACTGCACATTGTTCAGAAACTGCTCATGCAATGGCATGTTGAGATGGCGTTTGCCACACATTCGTGTGGTGGGCGGACAGATCTGCGCCTCGTATAACATACGGTTAGTCGCGTGTGAGCTCTCAGTGTTTGCCAACGTAGGCTAACTTGTAACACAGTACGGCATGTTTCATGCGTCTTACACCCCAGCGAACTCCTGAGGGGCGCAGCTTGTCTCTGTATAACACTGTGGCTCGCGTGCTGACACATTGCCGAGGCAAGGCCGACCAGCATGCAGGACGTGTCACAGACGTTCTCAGTAGTGAAGATCGCGCATCCTCACCAGATGTCACTCCTCCATCCTGCACCACCTCTACCCCTCAACATTTGCCTATTTCGCTGGAAGAGCGTCGTATGACAATTTCATGTCCCGAACCGGGCACGTCATTCAGCTCCTCCGCTATCCTGGCCTTGAAGGCGCTATTGTCACCCGATAACCTCACTCGACCAAAGCCAACTGTATACACTGCTAATACTATCCGCTCTATCTATCGCTCTGCTAAAGCCCGCAATCTAGTTCACCACCTTACTGCTTCGGAATTCAGTGCTTTGATCGGCTTGTTTGGTACCCTCTCGCTGTCTTCTGGGGCACCCTACGAGTCGATATTTGCACACCCACTGGCCGCTCGTATTCCTAGTCAAGCCAAGCCAGGCCGCTCTTATTGGCCATTAGTCACTGAAATCATCCGCGAGAAAGACCGTCAACTCCGGAAGCTGAGTAGGAGTGATCGCTTCTTTGGGATGCACGCACGATTGAGCGAGTTTGATGGGCGGATCCGAACTGAACGTAAGTGCTCTCTAGTCGTGTGATGGATCATTGGCTTATTATGTTTTGCAGATCTGAATGCGAAGGCTAAGCGTTCCTTGCGAAGTGCTGGCACCCACTACGAAACCATATGCTCTACCTCATTTCACCCCGATGTACATCTACCATACCTCGAAGCCCTTTTACAGCATCCTGAATGCGTAGAAGAAGCTATTGACACCTTCTGCAACGTCGTCGTTCGACTGTCGTACATCAATGTGAAACTGCTCGACTTTCTCTGGCGATTAGTCACAGTGTCCTCGCGGCACGCATCTCAACATCGCAAGACAAAGCTTCTTGCATCTCTGTCTTCACGAGCTCAAAATGCACTGGCGAACGCAGCCCGCCTGCCATCTCCCGATACCCCCGATGCTTCTAGCGACACCCGTCTCATGACCATAGAAGACCTTACGCAATCCATCTCTCACGCCTTCACATGCAACACGAGCCTACCTAGCGTCGTGTCCAATCCGCATTCGCATCTCTTGCGTTGGTCCTTGGAAGCCACCATCACAGAGCTGTCACCAGACCACCTTGTCGGTTCAGCTATTGATACTGCGTGGGCACAGTTGTGCTTTATTGCATCCTCGCAGAGGTGCTCGTTGACAGAGATGGAGGATCTCTGTCTGCACGAGGATCCCGGCGGATCATGGAGCTGGAAAGCCTTATGCATCCTCTCTCAAATTGAGAATGCTGCGAACCAGAAGACGAGGACCGGCGTATACGACCATAGCGGCGCTACAGAACTTGTTACAATACGACGCATCCTCGAATCGCTGTGGTATAAGTGGTCGGCGATGCGACTAAGAGAGTCTCGGATATACTTGTCCATCGAAAGTACCATTATTGCTACTTTTCTACGGGTCGCCAGACGCATCGGAGACATTGAATTTGTAGAGAACTCTTGGTCTTTCCTCCAGACTAGTGGTTCTTTTGCAGCTCGCGAAGTTGCAGCGGAATACTGCGCCGCCACCATTGCCCACGGTCATGACATCCGCCAAATCTTTCTTACAATTCTTGCACATGTCCATCCCCCGTCACGCTCTGTTGTCGTCCAGGATGTCCTCGCTCGGCTACTCGTGGTCGACATTGAGATGGGTGCCAGAGTGTTTGCTTGGGCGCAGCAGTCTCATTTGACGATCGATTCCAACATCATACGCGAACTCGCTATGCAAATCGCCGCCCGTGGCAATACTGTGGACGCTCTCCGTTATGTCGACGATCCCGGATTACGAGTTGAACACAAGCTGGACGTCTTGGCCAGTCTCCTTCAATGTGTTGTGGATCCATCGCGGACGCTTCTCTCTCCCCGATCATTCGAGAGATCTGTCAGTGGACTGGTACGGACTCAACGTCCCCCTAGTCAGCCTCCCAGAGGGCTGGAGGAAAGCCTTCTTGCTGCACTCATGGTTCGTCGTCTTTCCTGGCTCCCTCGCCTCATCGGGGCGATCCAGAAGTTTTGGCCATCATTCTTCAGCGAGCGATTCCTGATACTTACCGCGGAAGAGTTTGTTCAACAACGTCAGTCATGGGCGGCACTTCGCTTGCTGCATCGCAGTGGGCTCATTAACGCGGACACTCAACGCACCCTCATGCTTAAACTTGTTCGTACTGGAGCGTACAAGGCGGCAGCATCTATGTTGAAATATCCCTGGCCAAGAGAGGGGCAACTATCCATCTCTGCCCACCTTTTACAATTGCTCCGTAGCTCTCGGAAGAAGCCTTCTCGATTATTGAAGGTACTCGGGCCATGGGTGGCAGCGAGAACTTCCGCCGAGGTTCGACTTGTCTCTAAGGTCCTTGCTGGCTATGCCCGCTCCTCCCAGCTGTTCTGCACGGGGACTAACGACGGAGTTATTCAACGTAACCGGATAGCAATCGGGAACACTATCATTTATGCAAGCGTTACTCGTGGAAAAAAGCGACAAGCACGCCGAGTGCGCCATGCACTTGCGGTTTTCAGCAAGCTACGCGAGGAACAAGGTTTCGTGCCGGATCGAGTCACAGTCAACATCCTCCTGAAAGCCATCTTGCACTGGACCAAGGCCGTCGACAGCCAAGCCGTTCGTGCTCTCTTTGATCGAATGGTTCGTAGCGGCTATCCGGTCAGCGACTCGTTCTCCCCAGGTGTCGGGCCTTTCGGGATGCACTCCACGAGCGACATCCAGTTCCAGGTGCCCGAACTGACGTCGCCCATCCTGTACGCGATTCATGTGCGACCGTTGTACAAGATGTTCATCAAGGCCTTATATCTTCGAGGAGACGATCAAGGCGCGCGGACTATTGTGGGTATATTGAAAGGATTGGAGGCCAGAGACCGCCTGGCACGCGTGCAACGAATCGTTATGCCAATGAGGAATGGACGGAGAGGGTAGAGGTTGCGTAGGGACTCTGTCAGTATCGCGTTTTAGTCCTGCAGTCGACTTTATTGCCTAGTTCCGCGCTGGCAGTATCAGTACCGGAAATCCAACTCGGTCAGCTTACACCATCGTGATCGGTGATGGAAGCGAGTTATTCACCTTAGCTTGAGTACTTGAGTGCTGATAGTATGTCGCAGGGCAAGGATTCATGATGCTGGAATGATATTGGAAAGTAGTTGGAAGTAGCAGTAGAATGTAACTTAGAGACATGGGATCTAGAAATAGTACATTTAGAGTTTCAACAGCTAATGAATACTATCTTGACGAGACTCGTCAACTCCGGCATGTGCGAGCGGGGAAATTGGTGGCGTGAAATGTGGATGGCGCCCTAACTTGAATGAGCGTTGACGCGTGCACCAATACACGTTCAACGTTCAACGTTCAGCGCTCAACCCCATCCTTCGAGCCACCATGTCTTCTCCTACAGCAGCGACATCCAATCCTCCCGTTTCCCGCAACCGAAGTGTTACGCATCTTGGAGGAGATAACGCAGGAGACCGTGGATTCAAGGTTCATCTTTTGTACATGTGAAGCTCAATGCGAATGCTAACATTCAAATTGACAGCGCAAATTCGAGGATGCAATTCATAAATTGGACGAGGCAGTGGGATCACTCGCATCTTCTGAAACACCTCCACCGTCAAAGCGAGCAAAGCTCTCCCGCTCACTATATTCCACTCTGTCGAAGTACGGCATCAAGAAAGGCTCGAAGGAGTATGTTTTGCAAGCTCATTCCTCAATCCCTTGCCAACGCATGCTCCCCTTTCTGGTAGACCGACGCAAATCTCGCGTCTAGACAGTCTCTCCAAGACCGCCCCTCACTTTGTTTCTATCCTGAACCGCGCGGCTACAAAGACTCGCAAGTCAATACCCTTCAAACCGGGACATACGCCGTCGCTCTCACTTTTGTCTGCCCCCTCTACCGCTTCTGAATATCGTCCTTCCTCGACAGCATCTTTTCTCTCCCGCCTCTCTTCTTACAAGCTTACCACATACGCAAATAAGCCCGCGTCAATAGATGCAGTGGCTGCGGCAAAGTGCGGATGGGTAAACGAAGGGAAGGATAGGCTGGTCTGCGGTATTTGTGGCGTATCTTGGGTTATTGCGAATAGCCATGGGATGGGAAGAGATGCCGGTATGTATGCGAGTCAAAGAGACCAGTTCGTATTGACCAACTCGTCAACTTTATAGCCACCGCGCTTATCGAGAAAATGCGTACCAATCTCGTGGAGATGCACAAGGACGGATGCCCATGGAAGTTTAAGCAATGCGAAGGCAAGTTGAAAATCACTCGTCCTGCGAACATTACTAACTGTCGTAAAGACTCAATATATCGAGTTCCCCTGCAGACTCCTTCTGTTACGACGAGAGAGCTGAAAGCTCGGGCTGCGAAGCTTGATCTTGTTGTCAAAAATATACAAATCAAGCACCCACTTGTGAGTTTACCATTTACGAATAGTGTTGGTGTCTCTCACATATATCACCCAGTCGGCTGCTCAACTCCAGACACTCCTCGCCATTCTCCGCCCCCCCAAGCTGCACAAAGACGTTCCTCCTAGCGGTACAGATTCTGCTGCAGAATTCATGGAAGCTGATGAAGCGCCTGAACCCTGCGAGACTGCTATATTAACTGCATTGTTTGGATGGACAATTGTGCTACCAACAACCCCTTCAGCAATCCCCCAGCCTACGTCAATCTCGCGGTCAGTATCGATCGCACCGTCAACTCCCAGGCGTCCGAATCTTGGTCCGAACTACACCTCCATATCCCGCAGTTCCACTCCTACACCGTCGAGTCCTCGACCGTCACCGAGCGGGCGAGGCCTCAGCACATTGAGCATAGCCAGCGCGAGCGCTTCTGCTATCTCAAGGACGAGGCCAGACAGCACGTTGCTTTTCTGCCCCCTGTGCCAGCGACGGATTGGCTTGTGGGCATTTATTCCTCAGCTCCACTCTAATGGGGACGTCATACCGATGCCTTCTGGCCCATCATCGGCTGGGGAGACGACAAGTCAGCCACGGAGACAGTTGGATGTTCTGAAAGAACATCGATCGTACTGCCCTTATGTTGTAAAATCGACGGTCCTCCCATCTCCTCCTGTTCTTCCCGCCATCCGCCCGCAGACACCGACAACGCGAGCCGAGTCTTATACGCTTGGCTCAAATCCGTCCTTGTTGCAGGTCAATGGACAGCTTCAAGCCACCGAGGGCTGGAGGGCTGTCATGTCAATGGTCTTACGATATGGCGCCACGCAAAAACAGAGATTAGGTCGGCCTAGCAGCCTCATCGAGACACATGTTACGGCAAACTCTGGAAATACGAGTGCTCCTGTTGAAGGGGAAGTGCAAGAACTTGACCAAGTGGGCGCCATGGTAGAGGGAGTAAAAACTCGAGGCGTACGTCCATCTATCATCTGTTTACGGCGAAAATTCACCATATTCAATCGGCGCAGGGTCGGGATCTTCTGAAGTACGTCAAGGGTTTACTGGGATAACGGACGGGCAGTACTTGAGGATACCGCGCCGCCTCCTTAGCGTGCATCGTAGCCAGAATGAATGCTTCTATTGAACGTTTAACCCTTGTACTCTTATACTTCTTTGAGCTTTCTCATTACAAGCGCACGCTGTCCTTGTGTCACAATGGTGTGTTGGAACTGGGCAACCATGTCTGTTGGGCGAGCCCGGCGGACTGCCGCCATTGGCGCTCTCGGGGAGGCTGGGTCGGATTTAGCGCACCGCCACCTTTCCACTTACACACCATCTTGAGCCTTTCCTATGTTCACCGCATTGCTCCTTTACGGTATCGTTCTTCACTAACTTATATATAGCTTGGATACTACCACTCCCTGCTTTGAACTATGCCATCCGCCCAATACGCCCCTTTACCTAACCCGCGCTCGGTACCCGATGCTGAGCGTGAGATGCACGAAGCGTTCCAGCTGGATGACGATGAAGAGGAAGACGACCATCAGTCAGAGTCTACACCTTTAGTGCAGAGTACGATGCCTCGTTCGCTCGAACGAGGACTGCTGCCGCTGTCCGTAGCGACGCCAGCGGCATACGACTTCGAGCGTGACTACGACTACGACCTTCCTCCACCGGGGTCTCCTCCCGACCCATCCGTTGCGTACCAGAATGCTATCGGTAACTCTAATGGAGTATTACCAAGCTCTCCTATTCGGCCCAGCTTCAGTCGGCCCTCGTTCTTCAAGCGGATGGCGGGTGCTTTGTTGCCTCAACACTATCAGCGATTACCAATAGATGCAGCATCGCAGAGAGCTGTTGGCGGAGGCATGGATAATGATGGCGTCTTTGCGAATGTGATGGCGAAACCGAGTAGGGCTGTCCAAGTTCGCAATGACGATGGTAGCATCTACATGGTCCCAGAGGAGGCTCAAAACCAGGCCCCGCCGGTGAGTCACAGAGGAATGCGCCCCCAGCTTGCATGTCGCTGACATGTCACAAACCTAGTCGTACAATGAAGCTCAGGCGGATGCTGTCCCGCCCTATTGGGAGACCACCATCACCTCGAGCCTGGATCCTAATGCCGACATGATAGTCGACGACCTGCCGACCGGAGCCTGGTACCTCTTCTTCGCCAATGCCTTCATCTCCTACTTCTTTCAATTCATCGGATTCCTCTTCACATATCTACTACACACAACTCACGCTGCAAAATACGGCTCACGCGTCGGTCTGGGTCTCACGCTCATTCAATTCGGTTTCCAATCGCGGCGACGGGCAGCTGAGGAACTCGCCACCGAAGTCACACCTGCGCCCGCATGGGCAAACGTAACGGTGGCTTCGGATGCGCATGCCTCGTTTTCGTCCGTCGCGTATCAAAATGGTACTGTTGTGGAGGTGCCGTTAGATGCAGACATTACCTCCCGGGATTGGGTGGCATTTTTGCTCATGACCCTGGGTGAGTCACGCCTGCATAACGAGCAGTGCACTGTGCTAATTATATGTCGTGAAGGTTGGTTCCTCTTACTGTCATCTTTCGCTGGTTACTTCCGGGTGAAGCGATGGGAACGCTCGATACGTTCCTCCGCACCACCACCTACAACACAACCAGATAGTGCCGCGAACACCCATCATCCTCTGTTGGGGTGGCTCAATGTTGGAGCAGATGATCTTCACACTGAGGACCAGGGAGAGCCACATATGATGAACGAGTCAGAGGCGAGGTTGGCGCGGGACTTGAGGACAGCCGGACTCATTTAATTAAATTCATGTGAACGGTATCTGACTATCTACTGAGCCACTCTTTGGATACCAGGAGATTTAGTAACTAAAGTTCTTCGCTTTTCATGTAGACATGCATGTAATTGTACGCACTTAGGTCTTCCGCTGTGTATTCATTCGCCCTTTCTCTTTTTAATTATTTAACTTGGGAAATTGTGGGGAATACTGAAGCTCTCTTTGGCTAACGCGTCATATTACTTGCTTCGTTCTCGCCATCACTTCAACCGCATCGCTCGAAGTCGACTACCCGCCATGGTCGACGACGACGCTAATGAGGAGCTCTCAGTAACGTTCCAACCTGCATTGTACCTACAGAGACGTGCATGGGTCTTTGAGGAGATGCGTCGCGAAGGTACAACACGTGTAGGTACACGCGGCCGCCCGTGTGGCGAAGTGCTTGCGCCTGACGATTGTACTTCAGGTCGTTGACATCGGGTGTGGGGAAGGCGAGACGATCGCCTGCCTCTCCAATCCGGCGCCGTGGCGCGGACCACTGCGCTTAGATTGCAAAAATGGCTCGCCTCAGCCTGTACAAGATACCCTACATGTCCTATCTATACACGCTTTGGACATATCTGCCGCCGAGCTCGAGCTCGCAACCATGGTTACAGCGCCGCCCTCGAAAGAGTCATGGCTTACGCGCTGGGAATCGTTGGACGTCAAGCTCTGGCACGGCGGGCTGGAGTCCTTCAACTCCGAGTTTGTTGATGTAGAGTGTATCATCTCCACTGAAGTGTACGTCATCTCACACGACCTGGCTACGGCCACGTTCATCTTCTGTCTTGCAGTATCGAACATCTCCCTGAGGGCGTCCTACCTGAATTCGCCCCCATGCTTTTGGGCGTGTACCATCCCCACCTCCTACTTATCACAACTCCGTCCTATGACTACAACGCGAGATTCACCGCTCCAGATGCTCCTCCCTCTGCCCGCAGAGGCTTCCCAGATCCCACCGGCCGGACAAATCGGATCTTCCGCCACCACGATCACAAGTTTGAATGGACTGTACAGGAGTTTAGGGTATGGTGCGAGGCAGCTGCCCGAGAGTGGGGATACGATGTCACGGTCTCAGGCGTCGGTAGGGCGCAAGAGAAGGACAAATGGGGTCGTGACGATGAACTTGGCTCGGCAAGCCAGGTTGC